ACATTCAAGCCTCTAAAACAAAAGAGAGATCAAAGAGGATTTCAGTGCCAGCCAAAAATCTTAGCAGATAAAAGTGCCTGCAAACAGGCACAGGGGCAGGGGTTTAATGCCCAGCCCTGCCTTGCCAGTCTCCCCCCCCCCAGGGGGCATGCTGAGAGGCAATTGAGACGGGGTGTGGTGGCATGTGCCTGTAATCCCAGCGCTTGGGAGGTTGTAAACAAGCAGATTACTATGAGTCCAATCTAGTAGTGAGACTCTGGACACCCAGCAGGACCTTCTCTAATAATATGATTTTTGAAAAGGAATATGCATTCCTTCCTCCTGAGAAGATGGAACAAAATTGTGAAAATGGCCATATTCGCAAAATTGTTATGCAGATTTAATGCAGTCCATATGACAATATCATCAATGTACCTCACACATCTAGAGAAAACATAGTTAAAGTTTATTTGGAAACAGAAAAGTCTAGAATAGCAAGGAACTCTTGGGTAACAAGGGCAAGATAGGCCAGATTACAATTCCGCACATGAAATTATACTACAAAGCTACTGTGATGAAGTCAACACGACAATGGCAAAGCAAAACAAAACAGAAAAACAGAACAAAGAATCAATGGCATGGAATAGGAGAAGCAACTGTAACTATAAGCACACTCAGCCATCTTTATCTATCACAAAAGAGCCAAACAGGTTCACTGGAAGAAAGATAGCCTCTGTAACAGATAGTGGTAGGAAAACTGGCTCTCCACAAGCCAAAAATGAAAAGTAGACCTGGGTCTATCACTATGCACTAAACTGAAGTAAAAAAAATGGATAAAAGATCTCAACATGAAAAGAAAAACACTAAATCTCCTGGAAGAAAAAAATAGGTGAAAACCTTGAAGACATAGGAGTAGGCAAACAGTTTATGAGCAGAAACCAAACTGCGTGGCAAATACTCCGAAGAATCAAAACTGGGATCTCATCTTATAGAGAAGTTTCTGCCTTTCAAAAGAAATCACCAACAGATTGAAAAGGCAACCCACATATTGGGAAACAGTTGTAACCAACAATCAGTCAGACAAAGGTGAGTAAATTATAAATAGAACTAAAAAATTTTGGACCCCCCAGATTTAAAGATCCAATCCAGAAATGGGCATCTGAGATTAATACACATTTCTCAGAGCAAGAAAAACAATTGGAGGGGCTGTAAAGACAACTCAGTAGAACAGTAGAATAAGTGCTTGCTTGGCAAGTGTAAGGGCCTGAGTTCAAACCCTGGTTCCCCCCCCCACAAAAAAATATTCAAGTGGCAAATAAATATTTGAAATATCTGAAAAAATGTTCCAGAGCACTGGCTATTCGAGAAATGCAAATTAAAACATTGAGATAGCATCTGACCTCGGAAAGAATGGCTATTATAAAGAAATCAAATAATATCAAATGCTGGAGAGGGTGTGACAAAAAAAAATGTAACCCTTCTCCACTACTGGTGGGAATGTAGTACTTGTACAACCACTATGGAAATCAGTGTGGAGATGCCTTAAAAGCTGGGACTGAAAACCCTATTCAATCCAGCTATTTCCCTTCTGAGTATTTTTCCAAAATAACTGAAAAAAATCAAACCATAGTGATATATGTGAAACCATGTATACATCAAAACAATTCGTCATAGCCAAATCTTGGAAATAATCAAAATGTCTATCTCTTGAGGAATGGATGAAAAAGATGTGGTAGTTTTATACAATGGAGTACTACTCAGCTACAATGAAAGACAAACTTGAAGCCTTTATATGTAAGTGGATTCAACTAGAGAGTATAACTAGAGGTTATACTCATAAGTGAAATATATCAGACCTATTTGTACAAATATTGTATTGTCTCCCTAGTGTAAGAACCTGAAAAATGAAATAAAACCTGAAAGTTATAATAGATATAGCAAAACAGAATGAAACTGAATTTAAGGATTAAACAATGAAGATTAGAGAAAGGAGACAAGATAGAGAAAAAGGAAGGGGTAACATCTTGCAAGTATTTATACAGGATTGCTGAGATGATTGTACTATCAATTTCCATCACTTTTCAAAAAATACCAATTAGTGTTTAGAATGTGCATCTTGACTAAATCTGTATGCTGATCTTTGCAATCTGACCAACTACATCAGGAACAGCAATGTATAATACAAAAACCATAGTTGAATAATGGTCGTCTTGGTCTTCTAAATGTGTACTCTCTCTAATGTCTTAGGAATCAATATACTCTCCTTAAAATAAATTTTTGAAAAATGCAAGAAAAAATTCTTTACTCGATTATTTGTCCAAAGTTGCATAACTGTATCTATTAAGCTGAGCAACAGATTTGACATTAAAAATAGATAACATAACAACCATTATTAATTAGCTATTCCTGTTTTGAAAATCTGTAACATATATACTGTTGTGTGTGACCCCACTACTGTCATTCTTTCCATTTGATTTTACTTCTGTTTTTACTCTTCAAAATAAGATAAAATAAAATTTTAAAAAAAGAAAAAAAGAGGCTATGTGATTGCACAAAACAGTTACAAAGCATAAGTTCTAATAAAAGGATAGCATATTGAGGATACAAGAAATTTAATAAAATACTAAGAAAACAAAATTACTAAATTAAATAATTGACTAAGGACTAAATACAGAAATTTCTAAAAATAATGTGTAAAATAGTCAAAATACATATAAAGAAGGCTTTAACATATCTATCTATTTATCATCTATCATATATCAATCTTATCTCTAAGGTGGGGAAGTTTGCTACTGGATATATAAGCAGTAGTTAAATTACTGAATCATGAAATGAAGAATAAAATCAATACATTGAAATGATATGTGCAATTTATTAATTTGATAGCATCACTCACATCCTTCAAGATACAGAATCACCCTGTGCCCTCGATAGATAAATGGTTAACTTGACATAGAACATGCACTATGCATGTCTATCTATCTATTGAGCAAGCTGGAGACATAGCTTAGAAGCATGCTCCTACCTGGCAGCACAAGGCCCTGAGGTTGACTTCCAGTACAATAAAAAATATCTATTAAGCAATTGATCAATTAGTATTAACACACATTCATAATCAAATGCTATTAAGCTTTAATAAATAGGAGTTATTTTTATTTGTCACAACTTGCATGAAACTAGAAAACATTATGTTAAATGAAAA